GGAAACTGTCCGAGTTCAAAGGAGTAATTGATTAGTGATGCAATAGGTTGGGATATAATCGATTTACAAAATTTTAGAAGTTTTATAGGTATATCGTCAATTCCAGTGGAGTTTTTATTTTTCAAACCATCTATGATATCTTTAACTTCATTCTCGGTTACAGGTGTGATGAAAATACTTTGATTAACTTCATTTGGAGGCGAGCACGATGTAGATAAGTGTCCGCCGAAATGGCTCTGTAATTTTTTTGATACGGTGGTCACAAAATGACTAACGAATGTATCACATATTTCCTTTTTGTCTTTTATTATGACATCATTAATTTTCAAGTTAATTTCTTTTCTTTCACTTTTTCGACCCAGTCTTTCATTTACAATTCCCCACATTGTTTTATTTTTGTTTTCAGACTCTTTGATTTTTCGTGTATTTTCCTCAATTTTCATATTGGCTATCTTTTTGTTAATAGTTTTCTTATAATTCTTATAACTCAGCATTAGATCGTCATCATTCGAGTTTTTTGCTACGTAATATAAAAATTTCATTTTATCAATTTCCGCTGCAATTTGAGGATTTTGTTTCTTTTTAAAAGTTTGTATTTTTATGTTTCTCTTGGGACATGTTACATTTAAGCACCATTCGAAATGAATGATAAATTCATTGTAATATGAATTAATGTTTTCATGATTCACAGAGAACAAATCATAGCTCGAAGAATAGGTATGCATATAAAATTCCGCATATTTTGATCTGAGAAATCCCCCAACCTTGGATACCTCCTGTAGTATTCACCTTTTTTAACCATTCTGGCGCTCTCAGTCTATCACTGTCACCGTTGAAATACCATAATACTTCTGGAATTTGTGGTATTACCCTCGAGGTTGTATTGGAACTCAATATATTCATCAACTCAGTCATCCTCATCATCATTTGATTCATAAACTCATTTTGATTCACGAAACCTACCTGACCTGCGACTTGTGCTGCCTGCCCACTCATAGAACCTGATGAAGAACATACGCTACCGTTATCTGTTCCTCCATCGGGTTCATCAGGAGCTCTCACAGCCGATATACCATCTAACACTTTCTCACTCGCTTGGAACATTTCACCTATTCCGAAATGACACTATCCTGAAGACCAAAATAACAAAGGCGTGGATTCCACTTCTGAAATGTTAGAAATACGTTTCTAATCGACCAAAAGAAAGGACGGCGTATTTGATAATCACAAATATAATGATGGAAATCAGGAAGTTATTCAGTCGCGCTCACACAGACACCCGTCAGAATCGGAATGACAACCCTCGTCAGAACTATTGATACCGAGTGTCTCAGGAATACAAATAGTGAAATACTCAACAGGAAGTTAATACCGTTGGTGAGAGGATTCATAATATCAAGCGTCGATTCAGTAGGAATTTATGGAATGAATGTGAGCGGGTGGTGAACGATTCACCAAAAACAAATGATTCCCTTGAAGCATGGCACAATTCCTTACAGAAAGATCTAAAATGCCAGCATTCTCATGTAAACAAATTGATCAATCTATTGGAAAAGGAACAAAAGTCTTCAGAAATCTTCGTAACTAGATACCGTTCAGGATTCTGGAAAAAAGAAAGTCCTAACAATAAATACGTCTAGCTTAAAAACAGGTTGAAAACCTTGGTTCAAACGTATGCTTTTAATAACGTTGAACAGTATTTACAGTATGTGGCTCAAATATTGACCATGTTTTTATTTTTGTATTGTTAATTGTTATGGACTTTCCTTCGTATCAAAATCAATTTTGAAAACTAGATTTTTCAATCACGTCCTATTTCAATAGTTGATTTTCTAAGGATATTTTACAAGGCGTTATTTAGTTGTAGTAATATTTGAACCGACGCCATTTTGTCCGCCGCTGTTTTTGTTCTGCGCTATTTTTGTGCGGCGCTATTTTGTCCATCGCTATTTTGACTAACGCTTTTCTGCTACGGAGCCCTTCAGAGTGGGGATAGGGGAAACTTTCATTTTCAGTCGCCTGATAACCTTTCGTCTCACGATGATTGAATTGTCTAAATGAACCATCGTGTACGTATGTAATGAAGAATATCAAAACAATAATTTGAAGCTCCAGGAATTTATTGTTTTGGCATTCTCATCATACCTTCAGACTATCAGACAATATGAAAATCACAAGAACAATTCAGATTATACGTTGTCTCATAATTCTTTGAATTAGTTCATATCTCGAATAGAAGTTGTAACATTTTTAAATACCAAGAAATGAAGTTTTGATAATCACCCTGTGAATTATGAGGTAAATATCGTGAATCGATTTTCAGCTGGTGCAAAACAGTATGTTTCAGCTTTGCCAAGCCTCATCAGTTGCACTAGGTCAGCTGACAATCGATCCATGCAGGGTACTACTATATGTGAAGTCAATCAAATGCCCCAGAGGGTAGAAGGAGGAGTTAGTTGTTGGAGCCATCTAGTGGCAAAAGTACAGAGGTGTATAAGTAGATTGTTTTAACAACCATATCTTGCGAGGACGTCGAATATAGACCACTACGTCCATATCACAAAAAGGCAAAAATGTTTCAAATCTGCAGACACCAGAATTCTTACAATGGTTAAATGTGCCTCCGACAGATGGTGAGAAAACTAAAATCTCAAAACTTAGAGATTTTTGATTAATTTCTTGAATCGATGAAGAGTCTCATGAACGATCTAGACTCTAGGGCTTTCGGGTTGACCTCTTCGTCTCATAAATGTCAGCTCCTCAATGTTCTGAATTATATTATCTCTGGAAAAATCTCTAATCCACGATTTTTCAGAAATTTGTTTAAACTTCCTCAAGGCATCAATAGTGTTCAAACGAAACTGGAAGTGCTTGAAACGAATTTGTTTTTTTTAAGGAATATTGAAGAACATATTCGAAGAAATGAAAATGTTCACAACCTCCATCATTGCATGATCCATATCAGGGTTTAATTCACTCCCCACCACCTTCCCTATCACATCACCAAAGAAATGCATCAAATCACCAGTTACCCTGTATATTTTGCTCAAGAATTTCATAAATTAATTATCATTTTCAAGATGGAGTTTAGATAGGTGAAGTAACATATCAAATGAACTTGGTGTGAAATCAACGCAGATTCAGAAAATGCAATAATCCACAGGATGTTCCATTTGGAATATCCAATGTTACAACTTTTTTCTGATACAACCGTCAACAACATCGATGAACTTTTTTGAGACGAATATAGAATAATCTGTTTTTTCGTTCTCCACATACACGACTTCTGATTACCCTGTATAGATTTCATTGTACATACCTACTATTTACATTGGTACAAAGGCACCCACACCAATTATTGGTGAAGCCAGGCTCACTTTCACTATACAGGGTTGTCGAAGGGAATCGGAATTTCATTTTGGAATTTAAATTTGTTTATTGTTGATTCTGATGTTACTCAATTGATTATTGATCAAGTCCTCTCGCATCATATTCTTCACATTCTTTCATAAATCAAAATGGCGGACATGCTAAAACACGGTCATATTTCAAAACGCAAGGCACTTCTGGCATGGATACATTGCACTCATAACAAAAACACGATATCATCATACATTCAACAAATTCTCATTTATCGTATATGAGCAGTTTATCATAATACACGCATTGAGTATCCTATTTATTTATTATATTTGAACTTTGCCATTGAAGTTAGTGAACAAAGTATTGCCAATAAGTGGTCGATTACTCAACTTGACTGAACTATCAATTTTGACTCATATAATAATCCCAAATATTTTCAGTATTTCCACTATGAGTATACATGTTCATTTGAGTCCATTTCAATAATGCTAGCAATTTTTATGATGCTGGGGATATTTATGCTGATGAAGGGCTTTCACGCTGAGTTGCAAGTGTCGTTAATATGTCAGAAATTACTAAATGGCTAACCGCCCAAATATCGATTTGTCTGGTGTTCCGATCGTCAAACGTTATGTTTTTTTTGCAACCAAGATAAGCACTTTGAGTTGACGTTTCTGGAACTGGTATAATGTAATGTATGTATGTTACTAGGCCACACTTAGTGTTCAGAAGCTAGAGTAGAGATTCAACAAAAAGGAACTGAAAATGAATCAGGTAATATAGGACATGAAATATCTGGTGATTAAAAGTGACCAGTGATATGAAATGACGGTCATTCGGAAATTTCAACCTTGCCAGTCATATTACTCTCATTTACCCCATTTGATATATTTATTAATCATTCAACAGAGAACATAATATATGTGGGATCAATGCCAGCATGAATGGCAGGTATGTACATTTGATAAATGAACTTTTCAATATTTCTTCTCAATGAACCATGAACCTTATATGAATTTTGTTGTTGGTAAGCCATTCTTTGATGTCCGTTATTTTTTGAGGCTGATGTGGGAATTTTTTTCATCATTGTACTCTGTAACTCGTATTGTAGGAGGTTTCTCAAAATCAATACTTGATTTTCAAACTAGTATAGATATGTTATTACATTTCTCCATGGTGATCTTTATAATTAGTTTCAGAAGAAAATACTAATGCTACACCACGAATGAAAACATTTTCACATTCAGCATGAAGAGAAATGATTCTTATGTGAATCACATAAACCAATTCATATCAATTCATGAGAATCATGAAAAGTACGTGACAATCTTTCGCCTTCGCGGATCATCTTTTCTGAACTCGAAGCCAATATTTATCAGCTGATCACGACAATTCGCGTCTAGAAATGTCAAATGGTAGTTTTGCAAACTTATATCGGTTACGCGGTTCGCCCATTTCGAAAGTTACTATTATTTTGCGTTGTGCAGTTTTAGCTCGACATTCCTATCAAGTATTGCGCATCTATTTACGATGAGGAAAATATCTCAAGGATTCTCATTCTCCTCTTCATGAGTACTCTATGAATTCGATCAAGGTTTCTATGAGAACATCTTCCGAAACAACATTTTCACTTTCAGGATATTCAGAAGTATTTGGATTCCTCTCCCCAAGGTATAGTTTACTTCAGTTTGGGTTCCAACGTCAAAAGCGCAAACCTAACTGAATCTACAAGGGATGTTATAATTCGAGCTATGGCAGAGCTGCCTTATAAGGTCCTCTGGAAATGGGAAAACGATTATTTGCCAGGAAAACCGGACAATGTTATGATAAGGAAATGGCTTCCTCAGCAAGATGTCTTAGGTAGGTTTTTTTATAGTTTGTAGTTTCTTTATTTTGACAGCTTCCATTGTAATGGGTTCCAGTCTTAATAATAATATGCAGTATGATGCAAGTATTGATGATGCATCTGGAAATTTCATGTATGGAGTATTATACATACATCATTTCGAACAGGAAAAAGAAGCGAATTCATCAAAATAATCGGATATAGGATGTTCCATTGGAGAATATATATCTTCAATGACAACCAATAAACCTGGCAGCCACAACCAAAATGGGATGCATTGTAAATATTTGATGAATGAAGTATTTACTACCTGAACTAACATAGTATGGCATGTCAGTGCGAGCATATTATTGATGGAATGAGGATGGGAGAATTCATATTAGGAAATCGAACGGCACGAGATTCCAAAACTGGATATTTCAGCTAACCTATTTGGTGCGGGAATGACCACTAGCTATATATTATTTCTTCGTTGATATTTCTGATATTTCTTGATTCATATAATCAGAATATGCTGCTGGGACAGTAATCGATAGAGATCCAAATATCCCAAACGAAGTCTCTCAAGACCATTATTGCTTGACAATTAACCCTATCCAATCACAAGTATTGATATTCGGCAACCTGAAATAAAGAAATCTGTGGAAAGAACACTAAAAAATATCAGCTCATATGTTCCTAACTGTATCAAAAGAGCATAATGTAATCTAAAATCAAATTTCAATGACTCGAAGATTGTAGAAACGGAAACTATGGTAACTTTATGTGACGTGCTAGTATCAAGCAGCTTGAATTAGGCAAGCCTGTTTGACAGAAGAGATTAAAATCGTCCAGAATCCCTGTGCAATATTAATTCATGGTATTAGGAGGCGCAATCCCATTTCTTCAAGAATCATCGACAATGATTGGCTATCCATGCATCAAAGATGGGTTCTGTACTCCATCAGTTATTTTAATCATGGAATATTTTCCAGCAAACCTTCCTCGAATTCGTTTGACAAAATTGTTAACAGATGAATGATTCACTCTATCAACACCAGATCGCGTTTCCTTCTTATTCCACCGATGTATCATACTGCTCTTTAAGAACGATCTTCCTTCTTCACGATCACAGAAATATATGATGCTCTTTATGCAACACCAAGGACCATGAGTTTGCATCATTTCAAATCTGAACTGGAAGAATACATCTCAGAATGTAATAGTTATTTGTTTTACTTGACAGCAGAGTAGTAGATCGACTGCCACGGTTGATAGTTCGATTGGAATTCTGTTCAGGCAGTCAATCTACTTTGGGGCCGTGTGGAACATAAAAGTTCCTATCCAGATAGTATGAAACCCATTATGTGTAATTTTTTATCGAAAACTCCATGATCATGTGTTCACCCAATGTCATTGTCAATTTTGATTACCGCTTGCATTCAAATTACTTAAAACGTTGCCTGCCTAAGCAGATAAAGTTTACCTTCCCTACCTGTGAAGAGTCAGAGAAAAGCATTCTCTCTGCCACTTGGAGGAAAATTGACTCTTCCATATAGGTAGTTGAGTCATACTCTTGCCCTTTTATAAGATGTTGCGCCGTTTTCCACCCTACGTGTCTCTTACTGAGTTTCTTCTTTAATTCCATCAGGTCAATCGTGATGAATGGGTCATATAACTCACGTATTGAATTATGTCAGTAGTGTTTGATAGGTTTCCTGAAGAGTTGTGTTTGATTCCCCTAATATATCATCAACGATTCCAGTGAACGACGCCTCATTGATCAATAATGTTCTGCGTTTGGACTTTAGAGCATCTAAACTGAAATAAAGGCAAATGATGCAGACTGTGACATAATCCGAACCGCCCTTGATAAAAGCATATCTAACAAGAACGTGATCATAGTTGGATGGGTTGTGTACCTACTTGCTTTTTCCCGAAGCTTGGGCTCGATCATCCAAGATGTTCACATACAGAAAAGTTGTAGAAGTTCGTTTCACAATGGAAGCAAAAACTGATAGACCTGGCCACATTGTTCCTTTTCTCAGATGTTAGTCACAATGCTATAGTCGAAGCAGGAGAGCAGTGCCTATTCGCTTTCTACTCCTCGTTTCATTCGATCTCTGCCTATAATAATTCCTCCTCTGTTGATGCAAAAAGTTCAACATTCAAAATTTAAAATGAATACTTGCTCAAGAGTTACGAGGACTCGAATTCTTTAACCAATTCTTATAGGTCGAGAAATGTTGAAGAATTAGCTCCCAGCCTTCAGGGCTCTCCGACTGGGACTTCTGATAGATCTCTATTCCTAGTAACTCCAACTGATGAGATTGAAATGTGAGCCATCATTGTAATGGAAATGTCTGCAAAAATGTCAATTATGCTCGAGATCATGATGACTTGATTTGCATGACAATAAAGAATATGCGCTTTCAAAATACTTTCGTCAGTGCTACACGGAACACGGAAAATACAACATTCACCTTGATATTCAAGAAGATTATTACCACTGGACCTTACGTTTCTTTCAGTTATATCTTTTTCCCTGAGTGATGATGATGTTCTTCACTATCATGAAGTATAAATAACTATCCAGTGGTGAATCTTGGTGCCCTTAGTGAAAATCGTATTTCCTTATTTTTTTATATATATATATATATAATACTCTTCGATTTTCAGGGCACCCTCATATAAAAGTTTTTGTTACTCAAGGGGGTCTGCAATCGATTGAAGAATCCATCACCAACGGAGTACCAATGATCGGATTACCATTCATGTCTGACCAGCCGACAAATGTCAAAAGGATTACCGAGTTGGGGATGGGTCTAGGATTAGATTATCGAACTATGAACAAAGAACAGTTGAGGGATGCTATCATTGAAGTAGCAGAAAACAAAAAGTGGGTAGTCAAGGCAAGACAAGTTCAGCCAGTGAAATAGAAAGTATTTATGATAATCAATATCCCCAAGGACTTATAATCTCCAAGAGGTTGACAAAATTCCATTACCTACCTCCTCTTTCTATCCACCCTAGAAACAAACAATTTCATCAGAATATCACAGAGATATCCTTCCGTGCACTTCAGGGGATAAAAAAGTTCCTAAAAATAAATATTCAATAATAGACCAGGACCTGGTGACAGGTCACGTTCTCCCATTTCACATTGCTTGCCTTCTTAATGCTTTATACTCAAAATATGAAGAATAGACGGGTTCCAGGCCGCCTCAAGTGTGCACTTCATAAGGAATTGCTCTTTTTTTTTGTGAAGAATGTTCGTGTTGTTTCACGATACTCTACTGCTCCCGATGGAATATACGGAAGTTCAGTATACACCGTTTAACCACTAACCAAACCGATACTTCACACCTCGACACGTGTTCCGCTAACTATGTTATCATCTCCAGGAGAAGATCAAAACCAAATGCTCTATCCTAGTGGGCTACTTATATACTAGGTATATGTCCGCCCAACCGTGAATAAACAATAACAAATATAAGTTAATGTTATTCATGGTTTAGTTCACATGTTAAACTTGGTATTATATTACTTAACTGAACTATTATACTAAACTATACAGAGGTGTGAATGGGATAGGTCCATTATCTCTATTCATTTTTTCATAACTATTCCTGAATATCTCGAATAAATAGCTTTCATATGCATATAATCTAAAAGTTAATGTCAGGAAATCATGAGCATATGAAAGCTTAGAGATATTCAAGAATAGTAATAGAGTAATGAATAAGGATGATGGACCTATCTCATTCAGCCCTCTATCCTAGTGCATTAAGTTTTGATCTTCTCCTGAAGATGCTGACATAGTTAGCGAGACACGTGTCGAGGTGTAGAAAATCGGTCTGGTTAGTGGTAAAACAGTGTGTAGTGCATTACCGTGCCAGAGGTTTCAGTCATCGATATTCAGAAGTTCTAACAAATTGAAGCGCTTATAATTATTGATGGCATGGAATCCGCAGCTGCCGAGAGGGATCAAGAGGGTTACGAAGAACTGAAGGAAACTGAAAGGGAAGATGTAAAAACTTCAAGTTTGAGTAACAAAAACACACTGGAAAAATTGCCATGCGCCCTTCGTCTGACCAACAGTGTAAAAATTCGATATAGGTTTTCCGTAATTACAAACTACATGCCAGCAGAAAGATATTTCATTTGTATGCACGCCAAGATTTTGCAAAATGAAGGCATGTGTGACAAAAGTTGTGTTTTTTGCAAAGGTTTTCCAAAATTTCCCACCGTTGGTCAGCATCGGGCAGCATTCATCCCTCGGGCCTAAAAGGCCTAAGGCTCCTAGGTGAATGTCACCCTCCAAGCGTCAAGATCTATATACCACATTTGGTACATGAATATATGAAATATTTTTGTAAACTGCCTTTCTGCCCTGAATTGAATTTTGATTTCATTCATTTTTTGATCGTATTGAGCTCCATGGTCGAATGCAGGGTCTCCCCTAAAGTTATGGATCAAAAGATGTAGGGTGGTGAGATGGGTCATTGTCAATCAAACTAACCGTATATATGGTCATCCAATTGTTGATGGTTCAAAAGTTATAGAATTCTTTCATTCCTAGAAGAAATCAACCACACTGAAAATATTTCACATCTGTGATTTTCTCTTTTACTAATTTCATTCGCACGGATGCAACTTCCTCTATAAATAATTCAATGAACTGTGTTACTTCGTATCAATCACCTGAGAAAAATGTTGTTTCCCTTGAGTTTCGTTATTGAATGGAATAATTCAGTTGATTTTTGAATACCTTTGGCAGATTTGAAAGCAGTTTCCAATTCAATACAGATTCCGAAATGGTATAACTCATGGGGTCCTTCAAAAATGCCTTTATGTCATTGATTTTTTTCTCAAATGGTAGCGTTTTCCAGGAATATTGAATAACTTTTGAACCATCAACAATTTGATAACTACATTTACCGTTGGTTAGATCGCAAATAACTCCTCCTACCACCCCACTTCCTTTGATCCAGAAGTTATATATATTTGAAATCGTTTTCTGTTTGGTTTTTGTGCACGGAATAGAATTTCCATTCTATTCCTCTTCACCTTCATAGAGCACCAAGGGCATGATATATAACGGTATGAAATTTCATCATTTCATCGTGAAGAATTTGGATATTTTTTAGGAAAAACCATATTTTCAAGATCACTCTTCCAGAAAACGATATCTACCCCAAAAGCCATGCATCTTCGAATTAGGTTAATATAAACTTCATTGAATAATCATCAATTCGGTTATGGTGGAAGCAGAACAAATATTACACTATCACTATTAGTTTGTCTAAATTATTCAAGAAAGTTTTGGGGCGACACAGTGGTAGTCCTTGAATTTGACATTTGTGGGTCCATATGTGGTTGAATAAATTTGATAAGTTTTTCACCACACATTATCATAACAATAAAATTTCTTCACTCATTTTATTGATACAAGTTACAAGAGTCACAAAAAATGGCAATTGTGAAATTTGACTACCGTTTGTTCTTCAATTGATGATTATTCCCCTGTTTCTATCGAGTAATATAAACATCTTAATGATGATTATATCGACACATCGAACAAACTAACTCATTAATTTCCCATATTCACAGATACAAGGATCAAGTCAATAATTCCAGAATGATATTAGTTGATCAACCAATGAAAGGAGTCGAGAAAGCAGTTTGGTGGATCGAGTATGTGCTCAGACACAAAGGTGCTAAGCATCTTCGTAGCGCAGCAGCCGACATGTCTTTCTACGAGTATTTCATGATTGATGTAATTTGTTTTCTATTAGTCTGCGTTTCTTTTTCAATTTATGCTACTATCAGAGTATATTGTTTGGTCGTGTGGTCAGTAAGGAAACCTAGAAGTAAGGTGAAGTCGAATTGAATGTTATTATCAATTTTTATTACAATAACTATAGTAAACAGCTTATGCAATATACGGTGTTTAGCTAGCAATAGTTGATAACAATTATTCACCAGCCAAGCGAACAATGATCAATAATTTTTCAGAACGAATAAATCGAACTCTATTCTACAATTGTCATCACTTCTCCAATAATCATGATCAATATTTGTTGGAGACTGAGTCCCTTCATCATTCGAATATAAGACCTCAATAGTTCACCACTGTTGAATTTATTTTCTCTGTACTTGATGATATGATTGTATTCCATTTATTTTTTCAACTGTGTCTGTAAACAGTTTTCGAGTTCTGCTGTAATAAGTGAAAATAATTCATTCCTCCAGAACAGGTGGGTCTTTTTGAACCGATGTCTTTGTTGAAATGTTTGTCTGACATTTCTCTTCATTTTTCTTCTTCTTCAGTGCTCCTATGTAACCAAAAGCTAATGATGAAGCTTCAAAGCTTCCGAACGTGTCTCGTAATTCCGAAATTTGATAACAATAAAGTATAGTTTTAGTGGAATAGACTGTAAAAATCTCGTCCTGTCCCGATTCCACAGGTATTTCTGATCTTTCAGGTTGGGAAAGAAGGATATGTTTAAGTTTGGGCAAGCCAAGGTTAGTTTATCTCATTGTACCAGTATTCCAACTGATGGAGCTACTGTGTTGGCGAAACATGTCGTGTGATCGAGAATTTTGTGGAAACCTCATAATTTTTTAAATGTTCATAAAATAAACAACAATATTGTAGTAGTTGAATTAGAATTAGGAACTAAGCCTACTCGAAACACATCTTTTCAAGAAAACTTTGGCTCCACGGACCTCAATAGAGAACGATATCCAGTTGGTATGTACAAGGTGAATCCGACCGCCGTTGGCTTAGGTTTAATATCAGGAAAATGAGGAATGCAAATGATAATTTGGCAGAGGGGTGCGTGAGGTATTATTTCGTATATCCAACCAGTTTTCAACACTTTAAGAAATGGCAAAAAGGTTGCCAAAAATATGATCGAAAACTATTTGATCGAAATCATTTGATCAAACATCATTTGATCGAAAATAGATTGATCGAAAATCATTTGACCGAAATATCTATTTATCAAATTATATTCCGATCGAACTTATAACATAAAAGGAATGCATTTTATGAGATCTGTCATTCCCTAAAATGACACGTATTGCAGTCAAACAGCGTAAGTAACTCCTTTCACAGCCGTTACAATGTTTGCCGTATGGTTGAGGAAGAAAAATAAGCATTCCCTAACAACACGAGTACATCCTAGGGATTTTCCAGGGACGTCCCTGATTTCGTATTGGGACATCCCAGATATATCCTTTGTCGGGAAAAAGTACATACTAGGAGCGTTTCAGGGATATCCGCTTTCAGACAAAAAGGACATCTAAGGAATGTCCCTTCTAGTACGTCCCTGGGATGTATCGAGTACGGAGTAGGGATATTCCTAGGACGACCCAAGGATATCCCAGGAACATTCCTTCGACAGAAGAAAAAAACTGTAGGTCGAGTAGGGATTGAACCCGGGACCTTCAGCTTATCAGGCACGCACCTCACTCCATTGGCTAATAGGCCTTCTGAAAATTCATGTATAAAATTTATATTTATTTATATTAATATATATAGATTTATAAACAGGACTGAACTACAGAAACCTCAATAAATAAAACTTAGTTAGGATTCGGGTATAATTATTATCATTCTTGGGTGTTCAAATTGACCTTATGCACTAACGATATCTGTTTGCGAAAAATGGTGATTTCTTGTGATGTTTTGACAAGGGGGAACAATAGTATGCGCTCTCAAGGCACGGAGCCCCTCATTTATTGAGAACCCGTTTTTTCAGTAACTCTTGAATTCTTGGCTATGATGGGCATTGACAATTCAAGAAACAGAAGCATCAAAAAAATTTTCAACTCCAAGAAAGTCAAGCACAAAATAGGTAATTCTTTCACTCAAATATCATTTGTTTTTGTATTGTAGATTTTTCAATTGGGCTGGAGATGGTCTTTCATGAGACCAAAACATGTTCCTTATGGTTATGTACCAATATCATCAAAATTTGTTGAAATGACTTTGAGCATTCCTTTCTTCCAGTGGAATATTTCACTTCACTTTGAGCAATATGGACTTTTACCAAAGAGAAAGGCAGTTGTTGAAAACAGACCTGCCGGGAAACGTTGAATTTTCACATTCATCAAAAGTAGTTTAGTGGTTGAAACTAGAGTCACTGGATGGTATTAGTCGGATACCTAATTAATACCATCCAGTGATTCTAGTTGAAACATATCAATTACAATAACATGGATATAGACACTTGTATAACTAGACTTTTTTCGGTGTAATGGTATAATATAGTCATCTAGTTAGCATACGCTCACCCCTGATAAATAACATGGTATTGAATAACGTTGCTGAAATTTTAATCTGAGCAAGAATAATATATGACTTTTTTGGATCAGTGTCATTTGGGATGAATTATCGTGAACGCGAAACTTTATGTGGAAGTTCATGTTAAATCGTTCGAACACAATAAACCATCTTTAGCGTTTATACCGGTTTTTAATACCTGCGCGAGTAGGTGCTGATAAAATATGAGACGGTATAATAGTAACAGATTTATCGTATTTTTGAGACAAGGCTTATAGTACAGTTAATTTTCGGAATACTAGACCTTCACATGATGAATTTTGGTTGATTTATGTTGAACTTTCCAAAACCTCAAAAAGAATTAGGACAGGGAAGGATGAAAATGCAACAATGGTCTATACAAATGTTTCGGAAACCGAAGTTGATTAGCTGAGGTATATGGTAACAAGTCAGGAAAGTGAATCTCATTGAGCTAAGATAAGGGAGCAATAATATCTGGCGGTAAATAAAGAATCAGAATTTATTCAATGCGAGCCAACCCAAAATTCATCTGGAAAAGCTGCCTGAATGAAATTTTGGCAATCGAAATGGCATTATTTTCTCCTGAGTATCAGCAATCGTTGGGTATGAAGACATTTATAGGCTGATGCAATGGTAGCACAATTCAATGATCCCTTCACAAACATTCATGGACCATCTGTGCTGATAACATATGAGATTGTATACCAATTTGAATGGCTAGCCTATAATTTTCAAAGTTCAATAATTCAAATACATATGAGGTGGTCCATTTGTATGATTGGAAAAAATACAGAGTCTCCTGAAACATCACGAATCTTTTCATCAAATGATATATACAGGGTAACTCACGGTCGATGGTACGTTAGACGTTTATGGAGAACGGGACATAGGATCATTCTGAAATTATGGTTACTCACGTAGTTGCTCTTGGTATATCGATCCAAAATATTTTCAGCTCTGCGGCGTTGTCGCTTCTATCAAAAAGTAGCAACAACTTTGTTATTTCGAATGGAACACCCTGTATTTTATTGCATTTTCAGATTCTCTCTGAAGAGCTGATTTCATAGATGTATCACACTTGGGGTCTAGCGGAGATGATTACAGAGATTTAGGGTGTGAAAAATCGTAATTTTTGAACTTTAGGAATTTTTTTTGTCGAAACTATTCATTATTGGTGAAAACGGTTTTCATGTCCCTATCTCAACTTTTGATTAACTATCTACTGATATTCAATTGGGACATATACCGGGTGATCAAGATTCTGAATTCTGCACGACCCTGTATTTGTTTCAATTAAATGTCAGTAGATAGTTGATCAAAAGTTGAGATAGGGACATGTGAGCCGTTTTGACAAATAAAGAATAGTTTCGACAAAAAAAAATCCCAAAGTTGAAAAATGTTGATTTTTCACACCCTATATCTCTGTAATCATTTCCGCTAGACCCTAAGTGTGACACATCGATGAAATTAGCTCTTCAGAGAGAATCTGAAAATGCAATAAAATACAGGGTGTTCATCTTAAAATAACAGATTTGCTGCTACTTTTCGATAGAAGCGGGAACGCTGCAGAGCTAAAAATATTTTAGATCGATAGACCAAGAGCAACTACGTGAGTAACCAAAATTTTAGAATGATCCTATGTCCCGTTCTCCATATATGTCTGACGTACCATCGACCGTGAGTTACCCTGTATATATATATTTATAACACAGTAGCTTCATAAAGTAAAATACTGGTACAATGAAAAAATTGTGTCAGTACTTCCCCTAATGAAGCTACTCTGTTAGCAGAACATGACGTGTGATCAAGAATTTCGTGGAAATCTCATCGTTTTTACAAATGTCGATTATCTAACAGTTTCAAAGATGGGCAGGTTGGAGGTAGAGAAAAACCAAAAATGGTTTCATTTTATTGAGAAACGATTATCTGTTTCCTATGAGCAATGACGTTGAAAGCGGCATACTCAGACTCAGATAGAAATAGATTGGATCCCCTTGTCGCAAAGGAACTATGAATGAGCGACAATTTGAAATAGCGGTTGATATGTATGCCTTGCTATTGATTGTGAAAAATATGCTATTCAGGAGAATACTCTGTAGTCAGTCCCCAATCTCATTCAATAATTGATAAATTGAACATGAATATTCTTTCAGCGACTTTCTGATAAAATCCCAATCACATGTCAGCATGTCACCTTTGATTAGATTATTGTACGAAGTATTGTATAGGGTGGTTAAAACAGCTGTTACAATCTAGTTTCACTATAGATGGGTAAAAGGTTGGAGTCTGTCTCAAACGATAGTCCGACTCAAGGAAATTTAGTCATTATGCAACTTTACACGGGAGAGGAGCGCTCATTTCGTGTGCGCGAGTATTTAGTTTACAATAATTCCGCCAATAATGCAGGTTGTGAATTTTGATATTACAATTAGGATGATGTTTAACAATGTCAAAGGTGTTAGTTGATAAGGCAGTGACTTCATAAGTCGAAGGTCTATGCGAGATTCAATGAAAATATTGAGAGAGTTTCGCGTGCAACCAAACGTTTCTTCCCGAAAACGCTCCCCATCTCTCAATGATCTCATTTGTTTCCGCACAATCAGCTAATCCGAACTTATGAACCCACTGCCTGATTAACTGACATGTTGAACATTGCTGAACATCATTCATGACGTACAATAGTCCACGGCGAAATTGTTGCTACAGTAATACTCGCGCTCACAAAACGGGCGCTTCTTTCCCTATAACGTTATGCATGGTGACTGAATTTTTCTGAGCCGGAATATCGTTCAGGACAGATCCCTACTTCTTCCTCCTACCAAATTTCCTACAGCTCAACTGAATGATAACAACTCTTTGGATCACACCGTACTTGGATAACTATGCTGAAACACAAGTGCGAATGTCAGAGAG